AAGCCAAGGGCGATTAACATCTGAGTGGCGCGCCCTCAGAAACTGAAGGGGCCCTCAAGATCGGCATCGAGGCAAGTTCATCGCAAACATATGGATAAGGATATGCCACAAACTGGTTCAGAGAAGAAGAGCCCCGGAGACCCCACGTCGTCATCGCCGTTTCGTCGTCATCGTCGATGAACTCTTACTTCCAAAGATTATGACGAATAGCTATTATTGATCCCTTCCTTCGGGGCCCTCTGTGATTTGTTCTTTGGAAGTGCCCCTCCCTCAGCTCGCACCCTGCTTTCTAACCGAAAAAAGAACTTGAGGCTCAGAATGGGCCCGTGGTCCCCGAACTACAACAACAACTGCTCCCGCATGATCCTTGCTCACAATGTATTCAAAGTCGCGCTCTCGCGCGGGAATTCCTCATAGTTAACCCAGGAATCGCGCTCTCGCGTGGGACTTCCTCACGATTTATTTGAACGCCGCGCCGCCCTCGACACTCAGGAAGCACGCTCTCGTTCTGGAAACCCTCACGATTTACTCGGGAATCGCGCTATCGCCCGAGACTTCCTCGCGATTCATGTAGACTGACCGTTCAGCGGCCCGCCCGCTCGACGCAGCCGACTGGGCCCACCCGCCCGCCCGATCCGCCAGTTAGTGTCCGCCCACCCAACCCGCCCGTCTGGTTCTGCCGCATGTTGTCCTGCTCCTAACCCCCCTCCTGCTAATATCTGTCATGATCCATCCTTCTCCCTCCATTGTCCCGTCTCTCCTTCCTTCCTTCCCTGTGTTGCGGGCTGCGTGAACTACACGTGGCCGGTAAGGAAGATGTACCCCCAACATGGAACATGGGTACGATCGAAAACAAAGATAATGGATATCGAGGGTTTGAGGTTATCATATTAAAGTGATTGCTGTTGTTGGTGGTGTCGTTGTTCATGTTGGTGCTGTTGTTGTTGCTGTTGCTGTTGATGTGTTGTTGTTGTGGTTGTGTTGTTGTTTTCGTTTGTTGTTGTTATTGTCGTCGTTGTGGCCTCGACTTCGTTGTAATCTCGTCGCCTCGGCCGCTGTCCTCGTCGCCCTTCCAATAGACTCCCTGGGGGTCCCACGACGGTGCGGTGACAGACCGCGTGGTGACCTCGAAGCCCCTGGAGACCTCACCGCACAGTCCGCCACCGCACGGTTTTGGGACCTCGGGGGCCCCAATCGCCCGAGACGTCCTCGGGGAGAACGGCCTGAATCTTAAGAGCACATGTCTTAAGATTCGCAATACAGCCCGTGACCGGCCCCGCCTCCCCCCCAACTCCCCCTTGTTCACGTCACGATTCGCGCCGGCGCCGTCTGGGAATCAGCCACTTCGGCATTCCCAGACGGCGCCGGCCCGAATCGTGACGCGACTGGCCCCCTGCCCCCCTTCCACCACCCCCGCCACGCCCGCTATCACCACGGGGTTTCCAAAAGCAGCCTCCAAAGCCGTGCGGCCCACCCCGAAAACCCACCCACTCACCACGCGGTGTGGTCACCGCACCGTTCCCAGACCCCCGACGTCATGATTTGTTCACGACGTCGACCACCAAGGGTCTCGACCCATTCCCCGGGACCGGTATTCATCCTAAGTCGTTTTTCGACTGTCTCGGGAAGCCCGGAGAGGGCCCCCTTGGAGGCCGAAAAAAACGGAAAACCTCCCGTCGTCACTCGTTCGTGGCCCGAGGGGGTCTGGGGAGGCGTCGAGCCCTGCGAATCTGGAGGCCTCCTAGATGGGGCCCGAGTAGGCGGGGTCAGAAGATCGCGCCGGGTAGGCGATGCATCGGCGACGTCGGCGGTGCATCGGCGACGCCATCGCTGAGAAAATCGGGTTCCAAATCGAGCCGCATCGACGACGCATCGGCGATGCGGCGCGATCCTCCGACCCCATCTACTCAGACCCCATTGCGTGCGCGTGCGTGTAATGTGCCTGCGCACGCGTGTATGACTGTGATGCGTTTGTGTGCGAGTGCGTTGTATAATGCGCGCGCGTGTGATTATTGTGTGCGTGGGCGAAACCAATCACAATACCAGACACCAGTGGGCCCAAGACACTCACCTAAGACAACGTTTCTTTTTGTTCCCCAAACAGCTTGCTGAACGGGGTGCTGTTGTGATAGAAGCTAATTCCGGCCGAGGGAAAGCTAAGCAAAGCATCCTCAAACAAATGTGGTGGTCCGGCCCGTTTCGCCTGAGACATCCTCACAACTCTCGTTTCTGAGTTGTCCGGGATTGAGTGTTTCGCCTGAGACATCCTCCTAAATCTGAGCTCTGAGAGGCCGCGCGAGAGGTGGTCCGGGCCGTTTCGCTTGAGACATCCTCGAAACTCTGAGCTCCCAGATGCCGCGCGAGAGGTGGTCCGGGCCGTTTCGCCTGAGACATCCTCGCAACTCTGAGCTCCAAGATGCCGCGCGCGAGGTGGTCCGGCCCGTTTCGCCTGAGACATCCTCGAAACTCTGATCTCCCCGATGCCGCGCGCGAGGTGGTCCGGCCCGTTTCGCCTGAGACATCCTCGAACTTCTGAGCTCTGAGATGCCCTGCGCGAGGTGGTCCGGCCCGTCTCGCCTGAGAAATCCTTGCAACTCTGAGATCTGAGATGCCGTGCGCAAGGTGGTCCGGCCTGTTTCGCACAAGATATTCTCGCAACTCTGAGCTCTCAGATGCTGCGCAAGAGGTGGTCCAGCCTGGGGGCCCAGAAGGCCACATGTTACATATCCTCCATGGGACCCTGCGAGCCTCAGGAGGCCCCAGAGAGGTCCAGGAGGCCGCAGGACGCCCAGGACAGGCCCCAGGGGCCCCCAGGAGATTCCCAGGAGGCCCCAGGAGGCCCTCTATCAGAACGTGTCAAGTTAATACACATCCGGTGTCGATTCGTTGATTTTTCCTGCTCTTGTGCCCCCCCCTCCATTTGGAGAGGCCCAAGCGGCCACAGGTTAGATATCCCCCCTGGGAGCCCCAAGATGCTTCAGGAAACCTCAGGTGGAGTTCAGGAGGCCACAGGAGGCCCAGGAGGAAGCTCCAGGAGGTCCCCAGGAGGCCCAGGAGGCACCAGGAGGCCGCAGGACGCCCAGGACAGGCCCCAGGGGTCTCCAGGAGATTCCCAGGAGGCTCCCAGGAGGCCCCAGGAGGCCGCTTATCAGAACGTGTCAAGTTAATACACATCCGGTGTCGATTCGTTGATTTTTCCTGCTCTTGTGCCCCCCCCCCTCCATTTGGAGAGGCCCAAACGGCCACAGGTTAGATATCCCCCCTGGGAGCCCCAAGAGGCTTCAGGAAACCCCAGGTGGAGTTCACGAGGCCACAGGAGGCCCAGGAGGAAGCTCCAGGAGGTCCCCAGGAGGCCCCAGGAGGCACCAGGAGGCCCCCGCAACTCGGAGCTCTGAGACGCCGCGCTCGAGGTGGTCCAGCCCGTTTCGCCTGAGACTTCCTCGCAGCACGTTTCGCCCGAGACATCGTCGCAACTCTGGGGTCCGAGATGCCGCGCGCGAGGTGGTCCAGCCCGTTACGCTGGAGACATCCTCGCAACTCTAGGCTCCGAAATGCCGTTCGCGATGAAGAGGAGGTGGAGGAGGAGGAGGAGGAGGAGGAGGAGGAGGAGGAGGAGATGGAAGGGAGAAGGAGGAGGCGGATGATGTGCATGAGGGAGCAGGCAGGAGGAGGGGGAGGTCCCAGAGAGCTTCAGGAGGCCGCAGGACGCCCAGGACAGGCCCCAGGGGTCCGCAGGAGATTCCCAGGAGGCTCCCAGGAGGCCCCAGGAGGCCCTCTATCAGAACGTGTCAAGTTAATACACATCCGGTGTCGATTCGTTGATTTTTCCTGCTCCTGTGGCCCCCCCCTGTATTTGGAGAGGCCCAAACGGCCACAGGTTAGATATCCCCCCTGGGAGCCCCAAGATGCTTCAGGAAACCTCAGGTGGAGTTCAGGAGGCCACAGGAGGCCCGGGAGGAAGCCCCAGGAGGTCCCCAGGAGGCCCCAGGAGGCACCAGGAGGCCCCCGCAACTCGGAGCTCTGAGACGCCGCGCTCGAGGTGGTCCGGCCCGTTTCGCCTGAGACTTCCTCGCAGCACGTTTCGCCCGAGACATCGTCGCAACTCTGGGGTCCGAAATGCCGCGCGCGAGGTGGTCCAGCCCGTTACGCTGGAGACATCCTCGCAACTCTGGGTTCCGAGATGCCTTTCGGGATGAAGAGGAGGTGGACGAGGAGGAGGAGGAGGAGGAGGAGGAGGCATGTTTTAACATGCCATGCCAGCCCGCACTAGGCGGGCACGCAATCGACCTTGGAAACCGCAGTGGGTCTAAAAAGCCTGTTTGGGGATACTGCACTCCGGCTATAATTTTGCAATAACGGCGCCCTCCCCCCCTGGTAACGTCTCGATTCGTGCCAGCGCCGTCTGGCTACCCGAGCGGTCTCTGGCTCATCCTTTTCATAGCATTCCCAGACGGCACCGTCGCAGCCTTCCAAGACGGCGTCAGCGCAAAACGGCCCCCTTCACCCCCTTCTGGTGGTCACGTCCGTCATCGCCCGGGAATGGAAACACTCCTTCAATGGGGAGACCAAAAAGGTACCGATGCCGCTACTCCCTGGACCTCCCCGGGGGTGCGTTCTCACCACGATTTCGAAGCCAATCCGGCGGTGGCGACGACGGCCTCCCAGGAGGCCGAAAAACGGGGAAAACTGCCAAAAGGTAGCGGTATTGGTGCCTTTCCCTCCTCTGACAGACCGGCGCCGGCCACCGCCCCCTTGACTGCCTACCAGGCCACCCCAACCCAACCCGAAGACTCGAATTTCGGCTTGGGGGGGTGCGGGCTCCACATGTTTTCCTCCATGTTCCCCGGGAGGCAAATTGAGGTTTTCGGGTTAGGTTGGGGTGGTTTGGCGGGTGGTGGCTGACAGACCAGCGCCGGCCACCCCCACCCCTGGAGCCCTCCGGCGAGGGGCAGCGGCAGCGCTCGGCGCCGCCTCCCCGCCGTGCGCGGCGGCCGCATGGCGCCGGCCCGCGGCCGCCGCGCCGCGGCGCGGCGAGCCGGCCGCAGGGGGGCTTCCCCCCTCGGGGCCGGGCCAGGACGGCTTGCAGAGTGATAAGCAATCAAAGCACCCCCAAACCTTTGGGAGGGGACCTGAGCGAGGAGGGCAAACAAAAACATTAGGGATAGGGGGTCTTGATGCGAAGCCGGGAACCGAAGTGAGGCCACGTCTTCATCGTGGCCGGGCCGGGCCCGGACGGCTCGCAGAGTAGAAGAAGAAGAAGAAAAACACACAAAAAAAAAAAAAAACGCCACAAACATCAACTGTTGGGGCTCCGCGCGGGTTTCTTGGATCTGCGCTGGATCTGCGCAAAGCGCGCCGGGGGCGGCGCAGGCGCCGCTCGGGGGGCCAGGCGCCGATCCAAGAAGTCCGCGCAGAGCGCCGACAGCTTATGTTTGCGGCGTTCTTTCTTCATCGCCAGAGGGCGGGTTTCACGAGCGGCGAACTTCGGTGACAACTCACGGCAGCCTCCCGCACCATATGCTCTTGAGGATCGACGCTACATCGACGCGAAATCGATGCTGAATCGACGCTACATCGACGCTAATAGATGCGAGTTCGAAGCTCAGTCGACGCCAACCGACGCCGATTGGCGAGGTCTCATTGCCTACCAGACGGAACTCGAAGGACACACGAGGCTCCCATGATGTGCCACCGAAGCGAACATGTCCATATCCAGGCCCCCGCGGTCTGCAGCCCGGGGCGAAATCCCACGGATGGGCGGTGGCTCCATATCCACCGCCTGCCAAGGCTCCGAAAACTGACCCTCCAGGCTGTGGTCATGTATAACTTCCCGCCTCGGATATCCTTCGCCCATGAAGGCTGGCACGCCTGAGGACGGATTCTAAAGAAGTGGGCACGGTGCTCGACAGCAAGCCTTGACCAAAGCCAACAGCGACCGCTGTTGGGCAGGTGGTTTTCGTTTCAAATGAACAACGTCCGCGGTGACGCCGACAACAAATCCGCTTCAAAATGGGCATGAACAACTGTCGGTCCTCGTGCCAATGTTTTTCCGTGCGCACTGTATATTCACTCCTGCCCCCCCCGAGAACAGCAAACATCACATTCCCTGTGGCGGCCCGGCGGCTCAGAGAACCAAGAAGACTGACAGACAAACAGACGAACGGACGAACAAACGGACAGCCAGGCGGCGGACGAACGGACGAACGGACAAACGGACGAACGGACAAACGAACGGACGGACAAACGGACAAACGGGGAGAAGGGGGAGGAGGAGGAGGAGGAGGAGGAGGAGGAGGAGGAGGAGGAAGAGGAGGAGGAGGAGGAGGAGGTCGAGGGGGAGGGGGATGGGGACGGGGAGGGCGAAGGGGAGGAAGAGGAGGAGGACGAGGACGAGGAGGGGGGTGAGGAGAAGAAGGAGGAGGAGGAGGAGGAGGAGGACGAGGAGGAGAAGGGCGAGCACGAGGACGACAAGGAGAGGATGATGATGATGATGGCGATGATGATGCTGCTGGTGATGATGAGGACGAGGAGGGGGAGGGGGAGAAGGAGGAGGAGGAGGAGAATCGATCGCTGCCTTGGGTTCAACAAGCCTGAATGCCACACCCTACACTCAAAAAGTTAGCAAAAAAATGTGCGTCGTGGCGCTGGGGTACATCTGAACCTGGCAGGTGTCTGAGAATACACCTTCACTATCTACCGAGCACGTGCGGTCCCTCAAGAAAGGGCGCAGGCCCAACTGGCACCCCTGGTGCCCGCACGCAGCAGGCAGGGGGCCAGGCGGCACCCGTGTTGAGTGCGGAGACGCTGGCTGGACTACCCTCTCGTGGTGATCGCGCGTGGGGGTACAAAACTGACAGGTGACCTGATTTCCCCCCTCCACGGCGGAAAAGAACAAATTGTCGGGCTCGGGTTCGCTCGTCGCCCCCGCCGCCCGCCACCCGACCCCCTCGCCCTCGCTCGCGCACGCGGGAAGGTGAGGCGGAGGAGATCTCGGGCCTGGGGTCTGGCAGAGCTCCTCGCGCTCGTTGGCGAGGGTGCCTGCGCTGACGAAGCCTATGCGCCCCCCTGCGGGTGGTGTTCCCGCCCAGGGGCTGCGGCTCCGGGAACCAAATTCTGATGTTCAGTAGCCCGCGGGGAGGGGGGGGCTGGAACCAAAATCTGCGCAATGGCCCTGGGCTCGCCGCGGCGGCATTTGCCTCGGCCCTTGCCTCGGCCCTTGCCGCGAGCCCTACCTGGCGGTGCTGACTAAGGAGGTCTGGGAGTGAGGAACGTTGGAGTCAAGGAGGTCTGAAGGACTGGTACTGGCGCTGCCTGTTGGGCGCTCGGGAGCCTACCGTTGGCGACTAGCTGTCTGTAACGTACGCTATCTCTGAACACTGCTGGCACTCGTGCAGTCACCTCTGGTCCCGGGAGTGGTCGGACCGTCACGCCCTGCGCACCACCCGATTGAGCTCCCGCTCGAGAGCTCCACGCGGTGCCGGCCCGAGCTTCTTCTGACCGCCCCCTGTCTGGATCTCTTTCACCAGCATGTCGCGGATCGTGCGGATGTGAGGATCGGTGGCCATGGCGAAGACGATGCGGCACTTCTGCACGCCCTTGGCCGACTTCTGCTTGTTCTTCTTCACGCTGAAGTGCGGCACGGCTTCGCCCAGGGGAGCGGGGTCCTCCGCCTGCACCACTGTTGCGAAGAACTGCGCCAGCGTCGGCTTCCCCTGCTCGGAGACATGCTTCGCTAGCTCCTGGAACACCTTCGCGGACACGACGAGGTGCGGGGGGCCCAGCTGCGCCAGATCCACCGACGCGTCCTTCTCGCGCTGCTCGTGGAGCTCCTTGGCCTGCTCGTTGTACTCCTGCCCCGCCAGGACGCCTGCGGCCGGGAGTGCTGCGTCCGCGTTGAGCTCCCACGTCTCGCACACCGTGGCCGCGAGGCCAGCCGTGCCCCTCGCGACGGCTAGGGTCAGGCGAGCCGTGCACAGCGCCATGGCGCGCCAGTCGTCGCCCCTGAGCTTCGCGCCCTTGCCCGCGCTTTTGTGCTGCTTCAAGGCGGAATCCTCGCCCTCGGTTCCACTTCTCTTCCCCGCCCACTTGGGGAGCGCGAAAGCGTTGACGTCCTCCAGCGCCGCGTCCGCCGAGCCTGCCGCCCCCGTCTGCGCCTCCACGTCGTCGAGCGGGCCGGAGCACATGTCGAGGTAGATGGGTTCGAAGATGTTCGCAGAACGCACCGGTGTCTGCATCGACGAAGCCACAGACCACGCAGCGGTGGTCGAAAGGCTGCACGCTCTGGAGGTTTCGGCCCCGGCCCCCAGGGCAGGTGCCCGTCAGCAGGGCTTGGGCCAAATGGCGCCCTGCAGTGCTCCTTTCCCCAAAAACCGCTCGACAGTTGACGCAGCGGTTACTCGGGGTGGGCACAAAGGCAAGATTGTGAAGTTTGCGTTCCCGTCGCACGTGCGAGATTAGAACCTTTCGCGTCGCAAAACACATCCCACAATGCCCCATCGGTGCCCCGCGTTGTCCTGGAACCAAAATCTGAAGTTCATTTTCCGCCGCGGCGGCCCTAGGATCCAACATCTGTTGCTCTGTCCCCCGCCCCTCGTCGTGGTTCCCGCCGTCGTTGTCGCGCCCAGGTTGGTTGTTTGCACCGTCGCCTGCGCAGATTTCCACTCGTACATCGCACCGCCACGGTCGCATCTCCTCCAGCGCCTCCTCCTCCCCCTTCAGATTCTCGGTCACCGTTGCACCTGACCCTCGGAGGCCTGGGGGAGGGATCATCCTAGCTCGGAAAGCTTGTCGGAACTCTCGGGGATCCAGATGCCCGAGGGCCTCTAGAAAGTCTGGGTCTCTGAAGTTGCCTGGTTCGACCGGGAGGCCCTGCAAGTTGTCCGAGAAGCTGCTGCATCTGTCGCAGGCGTGTTGGAGGTCCCGCACCACCCGTTTGGCCCATGGGTTGCTATCAGGACGCAGGGTGCCGTCTTCCTGGGTTGTCGGGGCCGTCTCGCACGCCAAAACCCGAAAATTGCCGCAAGCAGCTGTCGGTCATGGTCGGGTTGCAACAACAATTTTCGAGCCCATCCGACGCGACGAACGATGGCTTCCAAATGCATGGGAGAGATCCGCCAATGTCTGAGTACCTCGAAGCTCGTCATGCTCCTGATTTGTCCCTCTGCGTTGGTCCTGGTGGCAGCTCCGCGCGTGGCGCGCCTGGCAAGTGCTGCTGCTGCCATGGTAAAGATTGTGATGCTCTGCGCGTTGGGATAAAACTTTCTATGCAGCTCAGCCCTGCAATAACAACCGTACACGTACAAAAAAAACGCTCTTTTCCATTTAAATGGCACACCGGCTCGGAACCAGAAGCCTCCAAGGTCGCCGTGCGCTTGTTTCATGGCCCTGATCCGAAGTGGGAGCTCACTGCCGAAGGTCTGCACCGTGTTGAGGTGGGGGCCGAGGTGCCGGGCGCTCTGGAACATGCGTCCTGGGAGAGTGCACCTGCCATTCCGAAGATTGCGGTATTCCGTCGTTGCCCCCCTGCCCCTGATCTGCACGATGTTTTCCTGTTTCTCCCTGTTTGTCGGAGCCCTATTCGCAGGAGTCGGTCATCGAGGAGGTCGTCCGCCTGGCCAGCCTTCGTAGCCAGATCCTGGGCCGGGCGAGGCGATGCGCTGATGAAGATCTTCTGGAGATCATCGGCGCACATGAAAAGACCCAAGTATGACATTCCAGCAAACAGCGGGCACTCAGCGAGCAAGAGTCGATCTCCTCCTATCTGCCCCTGACAATCCTCCATTCATTGGCGGACTGGTGGGGAGAAGCATGCTTGGAAGCCCCCACACCCTGGTCTCCTCGCGATGCCCTCGGGTCGATCGCGGCACGGAAGCCAGAACGAGCACTGTCGATACCTAGCCCCCCCCCCCCCCCGAAGCCAAACATCCTGCGGGAGTAACTGTTTCGTCGCATCGCCCATGGCACCCCAATTGCAGCTAGCGAAGGCGTTGGACATGTCTTTCAAAGCCACAGCAAAGGAAAGCCCCCATTGTGACAAACGTGACGGTACAACCAGACTGGCCAATTCTGCTCCCCCCCGT